CCGTCTGCCTTGGTCCAAGTTTTTCTGTGGTTTCCTTGGATCACTTAGGCAAATGCTGAGGCAGTAATATTCCACAGATAATCTTTCATTCTCTTCTGTCTTCATTTCGTCCGTCTCATCTTTCTCACCCGAACCACCACCCATCCATTCCCACGATTCCTGAAAGCAGGCTGAGGAGGGCCTTCCGCCATACCTTCCGACGTAGTCCGGAGGGACTGCACGCCCACCAGCATTGCTGGCTGGTGGGAATGAAACACCCAAAAGTTTTTTTTTTTATAAAACCAGTCTTAGAACTGATGAGCTTATGATGATGATGGTGGAACTCCAGCAAAAAGTTAAAGATTTGAACACATTGAAATTCAATTCTTTTATAAAAGGAACGGACAAAAATCAAGTGTTCTTCTGTTATCATTACCTCCTACAGCTGATGCAGCGTTTGGACATCTAAAAAGAGTGTTTCTAGAAATCCGGATGTGACTAACAAATCTAGATATTGAACATTGGGGCTGGAAGTATTTCAATAACATGCTTAGCCCAATAAGAATCAGTCAATCATCAGCTTCGGATACTTTATTGAAAACGTTATTTTGTAGCTGCAAGAAGGGATGTAAATAAGGTTGCCACTTTTCTTTTTATATAAATAAAGGACGTTGATTATTGAAGGTAGAAAAAAAAGTACGCGGTGTCAAAATAAAATACAATATTTTACTCTATCATCTTGCTTAAAAGCATAAGTATTTTTCATTACTTTTAGTAACTTTTAACAAATTAATTATTTGTGGTAATCCACTGCTAAACAATTGCACATCATTTTTACAGTCTCGATTTAAGTTAAAGTAAATAAGTAGTCATTGTTTATCAGATTTAGAGACGCTTTATTTCTTTTGTCTAGCCATTTGATATTCACCAAAGGAAAAACTCTCTCTGTAAATGCTGATGTGGCGGGAATCGACAGTAAAAGTGAAATTACAAATTTAAAAAATTATCATCAGTCTTATTAAGTTGTAGCTGACGATATTGATGTACTGTTATTATCAATGGCGTTATCGTTAAGGAATTATTTTTTTTTTTGACTACCGAAAAACAATATACCTACTACCAAGAGTTTACTCATCAAAGACAGACCTAAACGACTTTTCAAATATTAAAAAGGTTTATCTTCTGTTTATTCACGCGTTTACAGGATGCGATACAACTTCAGCTTTTTATAGATGTAAAAAATATTTTGTAAAAATGTTTAATAACAATGTTAAGTTACGTGCCGCAGTTGAAGTATTTATGATTTAAAATCAACGTGAAGAAGTACCTACTTTTTCAGGAAGGTATATTTTCTATTCTCGCACTGTATGATGCAAAAACTTACATGAATTGACGTGTTATAATGCTAGCTTCAAAGACGAAAAACCTTTAAAATTGCATCACTTTCTTTAACAGAAGATGCAGCTCAGCAGCACATTAAAAGGGTCTATTTATAGATACAACAATGGAAAAATTATTCACCGATACCTACAGAAAAATGGGACTGGAAAAAAGAAAATTATTTATACTTCATTTACTTTCTCTAGCGATGAGCTCCTTCCAATGTTTTGGATGCGCGCTGACAAAATCGTAGGTAGGGAGAAAAAAGCTCATTATACTCTCGACTCTTGTTCATTAAACATACTTTTTCATATAGTACCTGCCAAAAGTTTTGTTCAATCATGAATAGTAGTGCGANTATTTTTGTTTTGTTTTTATTTATTTTCATACAATTCTGTTTTGTCAGTACCGCTTCCATTTTAACTTGATATCAACAATAAAAAAATATAAACAGAAATTACACTTACCTTTGTGAAGAATGCCGTTTTTACACTTCTGGAAATTTTACACTAATCATTTATTGTAAAAACAGTGGAAATAATTGAAAAACACATAAAAATGTTGATAAATTGAAAATAACAGTTTATTCCTTTTTCTGAAATTCAATCTACATCAATTGTTGACAATTAATTCGTTCACTATCGATAAGTCAAACCTCTTCCCACAAATTCATTACATTTTCATATTGATAAGTTAGTAATTTAGTAACAGATAAAAAATAGATACAAATTACGAATATTACATTCATGTGATATAACACCTAAAACATTAAACATTTAACGACAACGGTTTCTTTTTTTTTTTGTTTTCGCATAAATTTTTATACGTTTAATGTTTATTAAAAAGTTCCCTCAAGCGCTGTTATTATTATAATAAGTATGTAATTTTATCATTAGAAATGCAGAAGGATATAAACGATTTTTATACCAACATTGCTTTACGTTAGTTATAAAAAAAGAACATCATTATAATAATCGTACGTACGTTTATCTTCTTTTTTCGTTCTTCAGTAGATATTCTTATAGACAGGACTCTAGTTATCGTACGTCCCCTTCAGAAAATCTATGAAAATTTGCCCAGAGGTAGATCTTGATCTTCTAAACAACTTTGGAACGAAATGTTGGTGCTTCTACTAGATTTTGATCTTTTAAAATTGGATTTTGTGAAAACAAAAAATTGATTTACTTGGTTAGGTTAGGTTTTTTAAACCCTGTTTCTGTTCTATCTAACCTTTTATCTATTGAAGAACGAATTTTTTTCGCAATCGCGAAATCTGTTTTAATTTTTCAAAGAAGTAATAGTCAAATACGTACTTACAACACAAAACGACGACCGATTAACAGCTAATAATGGTGAATATATACGAAATTGTTATCATTTAGTTTCAAATGCTCTAAATTCATGAGTCCTGTTGGAATTTGCCGTATACTTGTGTATCTGCAGCAGAAATAGACAAATATTGTGTGTGTTGAAAAGTTGGACAGAAAATGTATGACATGCACTAGTAGGTCATCACCACAAAATGTTCACTCGTGTCGGAAATTGCTATGAAATTGGTGTATGTTATAGAACTGTGGCATTTATCATAGCCGCGTTTTGGTCGATTCTAGGGAAAATAAATAATGGCAATTTTATGCCCTTTCAACACCTTCCAAAAGATCATCAATAAAATCGTCCAACAAATTTTTCACAAAAATAAAAAAATAAATATGTACTAAGTGAGACAAAATACCTATTTTACAGTTATTAATTTATATTGTTACGTATATAACACTTACTACTGGGTTAGTATGTCAATTAGCGACCGTTTAAATAGCGAAATCAATAATAACCGCAAGGTCGAATTCAAAATGGCGAAGAAGCAAATAATGCAGGGTAGTGAGGCGGCTTGACGTTAGGGTTACCAACTCGAAATTTTAGTTCGGAGATCGTTCGAATAATTTAAATATACAAAAAACAGGTTAAAATAAGTGCCGAATTTTGGTAATAATTATGTGTAAACTTTTTCACTTACGACAGAATTTTAAAATTTATTATTACCGCGATATTCATTCGTCTTCAGAATGATTGGTTTGGATACTGACTGAAGAATTTCAAAGCCTCTAAAATGTAGAAATAAACAAGTCTTTTTTTGATAGATTGATGTGTTCTTATTACTCCAATGACTTTTTGTATTACTATCAGTGATTAGAAACACTCACATTTGTGTGGAAATATTATCCAAACTTGACACTTTCATTTTTATTATCATTTTCTTTGCAGTTTTTTACTTGGAAAAAAGTAGTAAACAACTCAGTTTGATATTTAAAAAAGAATATGATACCCATTTAAATAATAGTTGCATATCGAAAATTATAAAATGCAATACTAATGTCAAATATTTTATTTATTTTAAGTAATTGTATCTACAACGTTTCAGTCCATTTCAAACAGCGACAGGGGTTTACATAAAACATATAAGCACCTTGTTAATTATTCAATAATTATTATAATTTGCGCATAGAGACTGTTCGTAAACTATGTCATTTAGAGTTCGCCATTTTGGACCCCTCATCTTCTTCGTAACGCTACGTCAAGTTTTCTACAACCCCCCAACAAACATGACACTATGAAAGCTAGATTCCCTCTATAAAGGATTCGATGAGATTATTTATTGAATACAAATACTACTAATCTATATATATAAAAAGTCTGCCGAGTCAGCTAGTCAAAAATAAAAATTATCTACATAAAAAAGTCTTAAAAAAGTATCCCTTTCCGCTCACCCCCTGTTTGCTAACATATTATTGTTTGAACTGTCCCTTCTAAAGCAATTAAAATATTATGTATACGTAGGTATATATGTACCTATATACGAGGGTGGATTGATAAGTTTCCGGCCTAACCAAGAGATGACGCCACTAGGCCTACCTTGAGGTGACATTCTATATTACCATCCTTGGATAGCTTGTAGCTATAGTTTCAGCCCGATCTCCTTGCTAGTGTAGGTTTGACAGCACGCTGAACAAGACGCCTCTGTGGTTTTCGTAAAAATGGAAAAGCAGGAAAATCGTNTAACCTATTAAGAGGCTTAGCAAATTTTTCTATCCCGATCAAATCGTAAATTGGTTTTATTATAAAAGACAGCAGATATATACAACTGAATGATCTTAATTCATTAATTTGTAATTGTAATATATGATTAATTTTCAATTTAATGTTAATCAGAAATTTATATCTCATGTACCTTTTATAGTAATTACATTGTGTGTGATAATCAAAAAGAACATTGCCAATGAAAAAACAATAAAATTTTGTTCTTTAAAATTGAAAAATCCAGAGTCCGGAGAAAACTTAATTTTTTTGGAATCTCCGGAATAAAACTGGAATTCTTTATTGAGCAACGTTAAAATAAGGTGTAGATTTGTATGAGGCTTTATAACTAGTTAATTAACTAACTGACTATTTCCAATTGACTCAAGGCTTACAAGTGTGTCTGGTTTTTTACGTCAAAAATTCGATTTAAAATGGTCACATTTTGTACTTTTAATAGAAGAAACAGGTTGTAAGAGGTAATTTGGCAGATATCGAGACTAAAATACGCCATCAAATGTGCACCCTCTAACATCTACCTCCATGATGCATACTTTACCTTGGATAAGGTAGGTGAACTGGATTATCATCATCGACATAAGGTCGTCAGTCCTAAAACTGGTCGGACACGCATCTCCACTCTTTCCTATACTGAGCTAATCTTCGCATTCCCTTTAAACTAGAACATCCCACATCCTTAACTATTCGCGAACAATAATCTAATCTAGATCTACCTATCTACACCACCTGACTCCTAATTCTGCCTCTAATATGTCTCTGACTAGACCTTCATGCCTGAGAAGGTGTCCTATCAACCTATCTCGCCTTTTTCTTATTGACTTCCATAGAGTCATCTGTTCTCCTATTCTTTCTAATACCTCTTCATTTATAACCTTCTCTATCCACGGTATCTCCATCATTCGCCTGTAACACTATATTTCGAACGCTTCTAACCTTTTCTTTTCCGCCGCACCCGTACAGTGCCGCGCTCCAAACATACACCTTTAACAATCTTACCCTACTGTTACTCCTTCCGTCCTGAAAAAAAAAAAACTTTTGGGTGTTTCATTCCCACCAGCCAGTAATGCTGATGGGCGGGCAGTCCCTCCGGACTACTCCGGAAGGTAGGGCGGAAGGCCCTCTTGAGCCTGCTTTCAGGAATCGTGGGAATAGGTGGGTGGTGGTTCGGGTGAGAAAGATGAGACGCAAATAAAGACAGAAGAGAATGAAAGATTATCTGTGGAATATTACTGCCACAGCATTTGCCTAAATGATTCAAGGAAACCACAGAAAAACTTGGACCAAGGCAGACGGACCCGAAATCGAACCGGCGTCCTTCCGAATGCTAAGCAATGGTCTAAACCTCTAGGCCATGCTGCCGTCCTGACTTATCTGACGTTTTAATTACCTTTTTTTTTATGTTTTCGTGGAAGAGGGGAAATCTTCAGAAGACACCCAGCCGTCCGTACGACTGGGTAGTGTCGGATTCCGGAGGAAGAAGTCCTCGGACCTACCGACTAAAACCCCTCTACCTCAGGCCGTTTTAGAACCAACTAGGGTCCTCTTCAGCCGAAGGTACCTTTCCGTCTCCTATATTTATATTCGCTCTTTCGCTGCTTTTTCTTCCCTTGTATTTTTATTTTACATTTGTTTATTTTCATACAATTCTGTTTTGTCAGTACCGCTTCCATTTTAACTTGATATCAACAATAAAAAAATATAAACAGAAATTACACTTACCTTTGTGAAGAATGCCGTTTTTACACTTCTGGAAATTTTACACTAATCATTTATTGTAAAAACAGTGGAAATAATTGAAAAACACATAAAAATGTTGATAAATTGAAAATAACTGTTTATTCCTTTTTCTGAAATTCAATCTACATCAATTGTTGACAATTAATTCGTTCACTATCGATAAGTCAAACCTCTTCCCACAAATTCATTACATTTTCATATTGATAAGTTAGTAATTTAGTAACAGATAAAAAATAGATACAAATTACGAATATTACATTCATGTGATATAACACCTAAAACATTAAACATTTAACGACAACGGTTTCTTTTTTTTTTTTGTTTTCGCATAAATTTTTATACGTTTAATGTTTATTAAAAAGTTCCCTCAAGCGCTGTTATTATTATAATAAGTATGTAATTTTATCATTAGAAATGCAGAAGGATATAAACGATTTTTATACCAACATTGCTTTACGTTAGTTATAAAAAAAGAACATCATTATAATAATCGTACGTACGTTTATCTTCTTTTTTCGTTCTTCAGTAGATATTCTTATAGACAGGACTCTAGTTATCGTACGTCCCCTTCAGAAAATCTATGAAAATTTGCCCAGAGGTAGATCTTGATCTTCTAAACAACTTTGGAACGAAATGTTGGTGCTTCTACTAGATTTTGATCTTTTAAAATTGGATTTTGTGAAAACAAAAAATTGATTTACTTGGTTAGGTTAGGTTTTTTAAACCCTGTTTCTGTTCTATCTAACCTTTTATCTATTGAAGAACGAATTTTTTTCGCAATCGCGAAATCTGTTTTAATTTTTCAAAGAAGTAATAGTCAAATACGTACTTACAACACAAAACGACGACCGATTAACAGCTAATAATGGTGATTTCAAAAAAAAAATTAAAAAAAGCAGTTGAACATTTAAAAAGAAAATGAATGCAGTGGGTAAAAAGTTTCTGCGGCTGCGACAATTAAAACTTTGTTTTTCCGAATATGAAGTTGCCTGGGTCAGACGGATTTTCGGAAGTGAAAAATTGTTTCCATAGTCCTTGGAACTGGTCAAAGGTCACAGTTTTATTGCCCTGTATAGAAATACATATAAAATAACACCAGCATTTGAAAGAGATACGTACAGCTAGACAGAAATAGCTTGACCCCTGAGATTTCGAGAGAACGGCGCAAATAAAAAGAATATTTAAAAGGAAAGAGATGCAGTTTGTCATTCGGTAATGTGCTGCGTCTCAAATCGGGCTCGTATTGTGCAAGTAAACTCACCCCAGGGTTTTAATTGTACCGGTAATATTTAGAGGAAAACTAATAATGTTCTTTAAATGAAGGAGATTCATATTTTTTGCATTTTGCATTTTAAATAACTTTAAACAGTTTGTCCACCTCCAAAATTAGGTGAAAATCATTGTTAATTACACCTGTTGTTGAAGTTTCGAATTCAAAGTTGCTTTCTGATAGTAAGGAGCGAGTTTGTATATGTTACCGGAAATGTATGAAAGCTAGGAATTGTATGCAATTCCGAGGCTATTTAGGATATCTATAAAATATTGTTTCAAAGATTTTTTAATACACACATATCCTCGGAAATGTATACATTTCCTAGGAAATGTCCGAAATTCCGATATTATACTAGGATAAGTATAAGACTAATGCTTTCTGTGAATAAAAAGAATAAAACATGTTAGTAAACTGAGAATCATAGTTATATGTGAATAGAATAAATCGCTTGATTGGATGACGCTCGCTCAGCTATCACATCTTGAATTTCCGATTGCTATCCCACTACAATATTAACTCCACGGGTCCCTATTTCTGTCAACTAATATTTCAACATTTTTCTAACTATTCTACGAAATATGTCGTTCCCAAAAAGTATTTAAATTTCATTTTTGGATGCAGTGGCGAAGCGTGAATTTCTGCCACCCGGGGCGAAACCTAAATTTACCGCCCTTCTTATTTTTACAATTATTTTTTATTTAAATCGGTCGGGATTGCAGTGGAAAGGTGTACAATGAACTTATATTTTTAATTTAGCCCTTGAGGAGATTTACGAAGAATGGTAAAGATTTCGGTTTTTCAAATAGATTATATCGGGATCTTTAGTATTTTTATTGTCTTATTCTTTCCATACCTTTGCAATAAGTTTCAACAACTCAGGATTCTGCATCAATTCGTTGATGGCATTTAGGAAATTTAAAAATTTTTAAATGTAAGTAGAATATAAAAAATGTCTTGTTTGTAACATACATATAGGCGAAATGTATAGTACACTAGACCACTCATGTTTCTACTTTTTGGTATGTTTTTCTGCAATTGTTACGATTTCAGCTTTTATAATCATAGTTATTCTACGACATACATTTTTGTACAGTGAGAACTTGTCCCTATCGTAAAGTGAACTGTTATGGTCCGACCATTCGACCTTCAGATTTTGTTATATTGGCTATAAAAATTTGCCATTTTTACAGTTAAGTACATGACAGTTACTTTTCAGAGATTTTTATCAACACAAAAATTTTGGTATTTTTGCCAACTAAGACGGTAATGTCTTGCTACATGGTACAAATTATTAATTACTGGTACAAATACACTTCATTTACTTTCTGTAGCGATGTGCCCCTTCCAATGTCTTGGATGCGCGCTGGCAAAATCGTAGGTAGGGAGAAAATAACTTATTATATTCTCGATTCTTGTTCATTAAACATACTTCTTCATACAGTACCTGCCAAAAGTTTTGTTCAATCATGAATAGTAGTACGAGTCGAAAACAAGCGTTAAAGCCTTTAATATGTCTTCAAATATAAATAAACATCTCGTTGATATTTTCAGTAGTAAATGGTACCAATAACAGCACATTTGAGCAATGCAATTGTAGTGGATAAAATGGTCATTTTTTCCGTGCAGTACTGTGCGGATTATACGCTCTTCACCGGTTAAGAGAGTTGTCTCTTTCCTTTTCTGGCCTACTGCTGTTCTTTTCTACTTTGCGCCGGTCAAACTGAAGGTCACATCGCTACAGAAAGTAAACGAAGTAGACCAAGAAATTGAAATATTTAACATTGATCTGATTCTATATAATATTGAAGAAAGCATTGTTGCCGCCGTGCAGGCCCATGGCCCTTTTTGCCCCTCCTCACGCTACGCTACTGTATGGATGGTTTTCCTTCATTTTTATTCCTTTTTCGCCGTTGATGAAACATTGAACTTTTGACACAATTACAGTCCATAAAAACCGCTTCATCACTTTTTGTATTTTTTGTTGTTAACCAAGGCACGAAAAGTAGGGAATGAATTTAAGAACATGGGATTTCAACTCAAATGATGTTTGGGACTGGGATTACAATTTAGACCACGTTTTATTCCAATCTAGCGTTCCCCAAAGGTATTAAATTCAAACAATGACCTTAATGACGAGTGCACCGATTTGGATCAACTATTAGAGAACGTTTCTATCATTTATTAGTGATAGCGATGGTGTTTTTTAGACTTATTCGCTTTAGGTAAAGTTGTTGCTACCATCTCTAGTTTTGTTGCTTGAATTTTGAAAAAATATGTTTCGTCATTTAATTTTTAAAGAATCAACATTAAAAATTTAACAGATGCAATAAATAGTTAAAGTGCTCAACCAAAATAAAATAAAACGAGTTCGTTAAAACGAAACTTTGATCTCTTCTTGTGAATAATAAAGCCTTTCATTTTACCTACAATATACAAGGTCTATTCAAAAAGTATCGCGAATTTTGTGTTTTTTCAAAAATTATTTATTTATTCATGAATATCTATTTTGTCTCCTTCAAAGTAATCCCCATCAGATATTATACACTTGTGCCAACGTTTTTTCCAATCCTTGAAGCACTTCAAAAAGTAATTTTCTGCGAACTTGTTCAGCTCCTCCTTCGATGACGTTTTTATCGAGAACAAGAACACGGGGCCGATCTGGGGAATACGATGGCTGCGGATTATTAGTGTGTTGTTTTTGGTCAAAAATTCGCGCACAAACAACGATGTGTGAGCAGGGGCGTTAACATGGTGACAAGTCAATTTTTATTTTTCCACAAATCCGGGCGTTTTTGGCGGATTGCTTTGCACAAGTTGCGCATAACTTGCAGGTAACATTCCTTATTGACCGTTCTACACTGTGGCAAGAACTCATGATGCACCACGTCCCTGCAATCGAAGAAAACTGTAAGCAAAACCTTCACATTCGACCTAACTTGGCACGCTTTTTTCGGTCTTGGCTCGTGCGGTAGCTTCCATTGGGATGATTGAGCTTTGGTTTCCATGTCATAAACATAAACTCATGATTCGTCACCAGTTATGACTCTCTGGAGCAAATTTGGATCGCCGCAGAGTTCAACAGCTCCTTAGCAATGATAATGCGATGTTATTTTTGGTCGATATTGAGTAATTTTGGTACAAATTTCGTGGCGACCCGTCTCATGATCAAATCATTGATAAAAATCGAATGGTAGGAGCCATTCGATATGTTTAGGTCGTCAGCAACTTCTCCTCTCTAACGATCATTGGACGATTGGCCAATATTATTTTCTTCACATCATCAATGTTTTGTTGTTGTTGACACGCTCGGGCGTCTGGCACGCTCTTCGTCATTCACATCTTCTCGGCCCTCTGAGAACATTATGTACCACCGATAAACGTTGCTTCGGTCGAAGGTAACTTCACCATATGCCATAGTCAACATTGGGAATCAGTCCGAGCACTTAATCCTATCTTTCACACAAAATTTGACACAGATTCTTTGATCCATTTTTTGGAAGAGGCCAAAATCGAAGACGAGCCAAGACACGTGCAAGCAAAGCAGCTGTTAAAAATTAACTGAACATTCAACATGGCCGAACTTCAGTAGATATGAGAGACATGAGTACCAACATAACGCCACAAAAAAATCGAATATACCTAACCCGTGGAAATTCAAAATTCACGATACTTTTTGAACAGACCTCGTATTACGTGCCTGCATCTGTATATATGTCTGTAAAAAGAAAGAAAAACAAAAGAAGCAATAAACTTACGCCCGATATTTTCTGGAAAGCCTCCTTACACTCGGATGCGTTAAGTCCATAAGAAGAGCAGACGCTGGTAAATTCGTCGCTGTCGATGCTTCCATCGTTACTAGCGTCTTCTAAGTCAAACATGAACTTCATGTACTGCTGTTGCCACTCCAGGGGATTGTTGGGATCTTTTGCGAAGTCGTCCCACATAGAAGACCACTCATCTACACTCACCTAAGACAAATTCAAATATTGCGTAAAATTGGCCAAAAACCAGTTGTAGCTACACACGTTTATGTACATGCGATAGAAGTTATACTTCTAGTTACACATGTACTTATTTAGTTAGTATTTTGACACTTGAAATTGGTCCTTAATATTTATGACTTAAAACCTTTCAAGTTATTCATTTACACCAGTAATGCAGGTGGGGGGTAAAGTCCTTTTGACCTACTATCTGATGCAAAGCTGGAAGGTAGGGAGGAAGACTTACTTTAGCTTCTTTTTATGAATCATGGGAATAGGTGACTATGGTAACAATGAAATATTACACTGCTTCAGCTTTTCTCTAAATAATCCCCAGAAATCAGGCTTGGACTCCTCCCGAATATTAAACGTGATCAAGACCGGAATAGATCATATCTGTAGCAAAATATTTTGGAACAATCTTCTAACTTCTGTCACAGTTGCTGTAATTCCTAAACTATGGTACTGCTCAAAATGTCAAAGAGATGAAACTAATTATTATAAGAAAGAGCGATTTCATCGGAAAAAAGTGCCTTATTTGACCGAAAGCATCTACAAACTTATAAGGATCAAAGTTATTTTCCGGAACTCAATTCATATTTATAACCAGAACAATGACCTGGACAGTGAGTTGCTCTTGGCATAAAGTTCGCATTTTTACAGAAATCTATTCGGAATTCCTTTAACGTTTCTCTGACGACGTGTATGGGTGATTAAAATCTCTAAATCGTTCCCTCTATAATTTCGAAATTCGTTGATGATGAAAAGCGTGTCGATAAAGCGCAAATCAATAAATCCGTCTTGGAGTTAAAATTTCGAAGGTCGCCGTTCTAGCATAATAGCAAGTACGCCATCATCATCATCATAAAGTCGTCAGTTCTAAGACTGGTTGGACATGCACCTCCACTCTTTCTTATCCTGAGCTAATTTTCCCTAAAACTAGAATAACCCACATCCTTAACTATTTGCGAACAGTAATCTAATCTGCGTCTACTTCTACCCCTCCTAACTCCCATTTCTGCCTCTAATATGTCTGACTAGACCTTCATGTCTGAGAAGGTGCCCTACCAACCTATCTTGCCTATTTCTTATAGACTTCCATAGAGTCCTTAGTTCTCCTATTCTTTCTAATACCGCTTCATTTCCAACCTTCTCTATCCACGATATCTTCTACATTTGCCTGTAACACATTTCGAACGCTTCTAACCTTTTGTTTTCCACAGCGTCCACCGTCCATGTTTCGCACCCGCACAGCGCCGTGCTCCAAACATTCACCTTTAACAACCTTTTTCGAATTTCTAAATTAACCGTTCGCGATCATAGAAGTGACTTCTTTTTATTGAAGGCAACTCGACCCTGTACTATCCTCTGCTTTATATCCCTATTACTCCTTCCATCCTGACTTATCGGACTTCCTAGATACCTAAAATCAGCCACTTCTTCTAATTTTTCGTCTTCTATCTTTATATTCGCTCTTTCCCTACTTTTTCTTCCCTTGCAAACCAGTATTTTTGTTTTACTTTTCATATAATACTGTTTTACCAATACCGCTTTCATTTTATTTAAAGCTATCTCTAAACTTAAACGAATCTATTCACAGCATTAGTCGCAACAAATCGACATTTTTCAATTAACGAATATTTATCCTTTATATGTTTATTTACATTTACTGCTAACCTATTAAGAGGCTTAGCAAATTTTTCTATCCCGATCAAATCGTAAATTGCTTTTATTATAAAAGACAGCAGATATATACAACTTAATGATCTTAATTCATTAATTTGTAATTGTAATATATGATTAATTTTCAATTTAATGTTAATCTGGTAATCATCAGCTGATTGAGTGCAACGTTGCAGGGCGCATTTCTTCGCCAGGGCCGGAATTGAATTTACCTGTACTGTCAACCAACAATAGACTTTTGAACATACAAACATTTACTTAATTTTCATGTTTTATAGTGCTATATCACCTTGTGCAAGCCCGGCACTTATTTCTGTTACACCCTGTACATACACCAAAGTTTTATTTAGTTTCCCAGATATGTTGTTGTTGTTTCGAACCAGTCAAACTTCATTAAATGTTGTCATTCCTTGATATAGAAAATCGAGTCTTGATTGTCGAATTCCCGGAAACTCGATTATACTTATGTGAGCAAAATCCGGGAAAATGTCGGTTGCACTTTAAGCGTTACAATTCTGAGAATTGTTACGTTTAGTTCAGAATCGAGTCACGATGACCTTATTAAATTAAATGCGCCATGCAGGCTCAATTTGCTCCCTTTGCTTCAATAGAGCACAGACACTATTTGCATTTTTAAAGTAACCGTACTACGTAGCCCTAGTCCTTCCGTTGCTGGAGACGGCACAATTACCGACTGAATAATAATATTGCACGAAACTTCTCCTGGGTCTTCTACTACGTATCCTATTAAGATTAATTAACCTGCGGCAGGGAATAAACGACGTCGCTGACGTGTATTTTAGGGAATGAAAATTCAACAGAAGTAATTTATTCGAATATATCTAGGACGAAAGGGTTTATGAGCGTCATCCTATCCAGATGGACTCGAGATTGTATTATACCTTCCTAAGGAATTCCAGACTTTCCTCAAATAATATCAATAAANCAGAAGGACAGGTTCCGTATTTCCAATGAAAATAAAAGTGTTGTAGGTTATTTTTTTTATCAATGATAAACCATCTGTCAATATATTTGTTGAAAACACTTGTGAAGTACACAGGAACCGTAAGTGATTACTTTTGTTATCAGTCATAACTACAGACGGATCAAGAAAAATTAAAATCGAAATTATCAATTTGTTTACATCAACCTACAATACGTAATGGAAAACGCTTGTACATATAAATCTTATCTGCTTATTTTTAACTTGTAAGGAGAATGTACACATTGAAATCTGATTTTAATAACAAAGTCAAAAGCCAAAATATATTCAAAGAATTTTACAAGAATCTATTATATGTATATCAGGCTGCCAAAAAGTCATCCTGTATATCCAGTAAAACACAGGGTGTAACAGAAATAAGTGTCGAGTTTTGCAGGGTAGAAACTAGAAGCAATAAACAGTCGTATGATGAGCAGTGCAGTTAATGACAAAATTTCGAAGCCGGTCCTGTGCGTGAATTGGCAGCTTAGGTGTCTATAGTTGGGACGTTCAAAATTGGCATAGTCCGCAATAAAACTGTCACACTTACTTACTTCTTTCAACATACTAACTAGACTACAGCGGTTGCTAACAGAATGCCTACATTTACTTATGGCAGACGTCACAGGGAATATCGTAAACAGAAAAGAGATGTCAGGTTGGAATTGCAGCGGACACTAATAAAGAAAAATGGATAACATTACATCAATTGATGTGTAATGGAAAGAGGTGCAGACAAACAGAATTGGAGCGTGTTGGCAGCATTGGATTTTAAAGAAGTTCAGCATTTTCAGGAATTTAAAAAAAATCAAGAGGCTTGTTTAAAGATATAATTCCAACACCAGGTAGTTATAAAGTCAACCCTGTTCATTTACGTACCTAAGTAATCTTTAACCGCTGCCTCGCTTACTATTATTTGGTTATCTCTTTTCACATTGTCTTTACTACTCATGAAGCATTTCCTAGCTTAGCAAGGGCATATTCAGAATGCAACAAATGACTACACTCCCAAGGGGAAACAAGAAATGAGATACATCCATTCTCACAGATAATTTATTGCCAACTTTAAGTGTCCCAATTATACTGAATAGCTCAGTGCCATAGAAGATCTGCAGCTACATGGATGGAGAGTGTAAACATTGCCAAAAATCCAGGTTGTCTATTAACATAAACACCTTGAATTACACTTAATCTAATCTAACAAAAGAAAAAACAATACATGAGCAAAAAATACGAAACATACAGTACACTGATAATCTGTAATCTGGTAATCATCAGCTGATTGAGTGCAACGTTGCAGGGCGCATTTCTTCGCCAGGGCCGGAATTGAATTTTTCTTACCTTGCAAACCAGTATTTTTGTTTTACTTTGCATATAATCCTGTTTTGTCAATACCGCTTTCATTTTATTTAAAGCTATCTCTAAACTTAAACGAATCTATTCACAGCATTAGTCGCAACAAATCGACATTTTTCAATTAACGAATATTTATCCTTTATGTTTATTTACATTTACTGCTAACCTAGTAAGAGGCCTAGCAAATTTTTCTATCCCGATCAAATCGTAAATTGCTTTTATTATAAAAGACAGCAGATATATACAACTTAATGATCTTAATTCATTAATTTGTAATTGTAATATATGATTAATTTTCAATTTAATGTTAATCTGGTAATCATCAGCTGATTGAGTGCAACGTTGCAGGGCGCATTTCTTCGCCAGGGCCGGAATTGAATTTACCTGTACTGTCAACCAACAATAGACTTTTGAACATACAAACATTTACTTAATTTTCATGTTTTATAGTGCTATATCACCTTGTGCAAGCCCAGCACTTATTTCTGTTACACCCTGTACATACACCAAAGTTTTATTTAGTTTCCCAGATATGTTGTTGTTGTTTCGAACCAGTCAAACTTCATTAAATGTTGTCATTCCTTGATATAGAAAATCGAGTCTTGATTGTCGAATTCCCGGAAACTCGATTATACTTATGTGAGCAAAATCCGGGAAAATGTCGGTTGCACTTTAAGCGTTACAATTCTGAGAATTGTTACGTTTAGTTCAGAATCGAGTCACGATGACCTTATTAAATTAAATGCGCCATGCAGGCTCAATTTGCTCCCTTTGCTTCAATAGAGCACAGACACTATTTGCATTTTTAAAGTAACCGTACTACGTAGCCCTAGTCCTTCCGTTGCTGGAGACGGCACAATTACCGACTGAATAATAATATTGCACGAAACTTCTCCTGGGTCTTCTACTACGTATCCTATTAAGATTAATTAACCTGCGGCAGGGAATAAACGACGTCGCTGACGTGTATTTTAGGGAATGAAAATTCAACAGAAGTAATTTATTCGAATATATCTAGGACGAAAGGGTTTATGAGCGTCATCCTATCCAGATGGACTCGAGATTGTATTATACCTTCCTAAGGAATTCCAGACTTTCCTCAAATAATATCAATAAAAAGTGTTCCAGTGACGACTGGTGCATGGGATCATAAATCAAACTTGTTCACTTCTATTTTTAAAAGAGCAAAACTACCCTTTTTGTCAGTTAACGTTAAAATTTTGGTGCTGAAAAGAAAAATATAAAAGCGTCTCAGGTATGGTATTAAGAGTAAAAGAACAGGGGCAGTAAGGATGTCAATAAGAAACAGGCGAAATAGGTTCTCAGATATTAAGGACTAATAAGTGACACATTAGAAGCAAAAACGTGAATTGAAAGGGGCGGAGATAGACCTAGATCGTTTCCATATAGTTAGAGATTCATTAAGTTGCTCTAATATTCGAGAAATACGAAATAGTGATGAGCAAAGCTGTTTTTTTACTAGCAAAACTAGGACCAAGACCGAACGACTAAGACCAAGACTAAAACCAAAACCGGGCGAGCAAGACGAAGATTAGAACCAAGACCGAATATGAGAGATCAAGACCAAATATAAAAAAAACTTTACCACTATTAGAAAAAAGGGATCTACAAGAATAATGTCCTCGAGATAAGGGTTCTTTGTTCCTGAATAACACATAGTTAAAATATAGTCAAACTTTTTTTCGATATTTTTTACTTCCTTCAAGTACCTTGTAGGTAATATTTTGTTTGCTAAAAGGAAGGGCAAGTTCTCGAGTTTTCATAAGTTTCACAACTATCAGCACTATTTTTGTTTAAAGTCATGACAATCTCGCATGTATGACAGCAACTTTCAGCATTTAATTTGAAATTAAGAAAAACGTATCAGATTAAATGAGTAAAACCAACACGCAAGACCAAGACCAAGACTAGAAGTATTTGAAAAAGACCAAGACCAAATAAACAAAACCAAGACCAATGCCAAGACTGGGATAGTCTTGATCTTATTCTTGCTTTGCTCGTCACTAATACGAAGATTACTAGAAAGAAGATAGGAATCAATATTCAATCAGTTATCGGCCTGAAAACTTCAGGATGATGATGATACAAGCATTGTAAAGACTGTCCATAATATGCATAATGTATTTTCAATCAACGAGTCCTGTCATCATATCCAAAAAGATTCGGGAATGTACTATCTTCAACGCACATGTAAATCGTATTGTTCAATGCAAGGTCGTCAATCCTAAGACACGATGGACACGCACCTCCACTCTTTCCTATCCTGAGGTAATCTACGCATTTCCCTAAAACTAGAACATCCCACATCCTTAACTATTTGCGAATAGTAATCTAATCTAGGTCTACCTCTACTCCTCTTAACTCTTGTTTCTGCCTCTAATATGTCTCTGACCAGACCTTCATGCCAGAGAAGGTGTCCTACCAACCTATCTCGCCTATTTCTTATTGACTTCGATAGAGTCCTCTGTTCTCCTATTCTTTCTAATATCTCTCCATTCGTTCATCACCTTCGCTATCTACGATATCCTCATCATTCAGTTATAATGAAACATAAAATTTTCTCGTCATTGTTTTAAGGACTAGCTTATAGCTTCATTCTTCACTTAAAAGGAATTATTTTATAACCTTTCTGTTGAGTTTTTCGGCACTACTTTAGTTTCTTTTTTTTCCTTATTCTTACATATAAATGTTATTACTATCGACCCGTTTCTTTTGTTTCAAGTTGTCTTTCTCACTCTCAAGCTTAAATTTAGTGTAGCTCATTTGTTTGGTCTTTATCAGTCAAACAATTTGTAAGATATTATCTTGTTGAAATGGAGAAACTGGAGACTAATGGGTCCGTAATGATCATTCCTTCCTCAGGCGGATAAATCTAATCGGTCAGAAGCCAGAAAACCCTTTTATTGCTGTGGAGGTGTTAAGCTCATAGGTGAATGAAGTCCTACTGCATATGCATTTAAAGAAATGGAAATTTTATTTAGTAATACGAGGGTGGATTGATAAGTTTCCGGCCTAACCAAGAGATGACGCCACTAGGCCTACCTTGAGGTGACATTCTATAGTACCATCCTTGGATAGCTTGTAGCTATAGTTTCAGCCCGATCTCCTTGCTAGTGTAGGTTTGACAGCACGCTGAACAAGACGCCTCTGTGGTTTTCGTAAAAATGGAAAAGCAGGAAAATCGTGCTGTCATCAAATACTTTTATTTGAAGGGGTTAACGCCGAAGGAAATTAAAAAAGAGATGGACTCAACACTGGGGACATCCTCCCCGTCATATTCAACCGTTAAGCAGTGGGTTTCCGAGTTTAAAAAGGGTCGTGTGAGCACCTCTGATGGGCCTCGCTCAGGACGCCCCGTTGAGGTCACAACTCCAGATATGATCGAAAAAATTCATCAAATAGTGCTGGGAGACCGCAGATTGAAAGTGCGTGAGATAGCTGAGACCTGTAAGATGTCATATGAACGTGTGCAACATATTTTGCACCAACATTTGCATATGGAAAAGCTCTGTGCAAGATGGGTGCCGCGTTTGCTAACAGTCGACCAAAAATTGATTCGAAAAAACATTTCTACCGCAAATTTGTCATTGTATAAGCGTAATCCAAGCGAATTTTTGCGTCGATTCGTAACCGTTGACGAAACGTGGGTCCACCACTACACTCCTGAAACCAAAGAACAGTCTAAACAGTGGATTGGACCAGGGGAACCAACTCCAAAGAAGGCAAAAACAATTTTTTCGGCGAACAAGGTTATGGCTACTGTTTTTTGGGATGCAAGAGGTATTATATACATTGATTACCTTGCAAAGGGTAATACTATCACTGGTCAATACTACGCAGACTTATTGCAACGTTTGAGCCACGAGGTGAAAATTAAACGACCTCATCTGGCGAAGAAAAAAATCTTGTTTCATCACGATAACGCACCAGCGCACACGTCAATCGTTGCGACGGCTAAAATCAACGATCTAAAGTTTGAATTGATGCCGCACCCTCCTTACTCTCCAGACCTAGCCCCGAGTGACTATTTTCTGTTCCCTAATCTCAAAAAATGGCTTGGCGGTAAGAGATTTGCGGACAATGAAGAAGTAATCGAAGCTGTAAATGGTTATTTTGAGGAGCTTGACGAATCAGTCTATAGAGATGGCATTAATAGACTGGAACACCGCTATGAGAAATGTATCAGCCTTGGAGGAGATTATGTTGAGAAATAAAAAAAAAAAATTTTTAAAAACCTTGTTTTTCTTGGTCAGGCCGGAAACTTATCAATCCACCCTCGTATACAAATTGTATTGTAGTTGACTAGACTTGATGCCATTTTGATACGAAATTATGTATCTTTGGCGTGATAGATGTTTTTGTTCAGAATTGGATGCATGAAGGTGAAGAAAAGTTTGCAGTCTAATCCTTTCAATTTATTGTTCCTCATAGATGGAAATTTAAATTCTCTAGATTGTTGAAATCCATCAGTTTGATGAAAGGTATAATCTTTGATATTTCTAAAACCGCGGAAAGAATACGCTTGAAAAATTACTGGCAAACATTTCACACGAATGCAATTTAACCCCTAAGCTTGTGAATGCCTTTTAAAATATTCCTCCAGTGTATCCAGAAAGATATCTGAAGAATACATTTACATTTTCATCAGTTACTCTGATAGTAACTAGACATTTTCATTTTCCACCAATAGTTTCCATGCATACAGTGAGGAAAATTTCTTAAATTTACCAATTCATCATTTAATGTACAAGGTCTGGCTATTAAATAACTAGACTGCCCACGCAGAAGGCGTCATGGAGGCGAAGGGAAGGAAATGATTACAGCGTTGGATAGCTGAAACTCGTTTTTGTCGCTAAAGTAGCATCTTTTATATAGAGGTTAGAAACGAACGTGCTTTTTTCTCGTGGCGATCAATGTAAAATTTCTCATTAAATTACCCAAATTTGGATCATAGAATCGAAGGTCTTCTTGTATTGGTCGGTACCCGGACCCCATCCTCTTAGTTTGCAAACTTTCTGAAATTGTATTTTTAAAATAAGTACTTAAAAATTCCTTAGTATGTACAAAGTAAATTAGATATATAATTGATAAACATTCTTCATCACTTCATTTATGTATGTATTAAAAATCATGAACACGTAATTTACCTCAATTGCTAACTCGAAATCTTTCTTGTCAATGGTACCACTTTGGTTTACATCTGTAAACAAAAATTAATTGAAAATAACTTATTGACATTACAAGACCTTAATATCTGTTTCCCATTCCGTTCTAGATATGAAAAAAGTACCTATAATTATACATAATTTTCATCAATCATTTTAGATGTTATTTGTTCCGATCAGTTTGTGACCAAAAGCAATTAAAGAGGTTTAGCATTTCTTTTTAAAATTTCATTTTGTAATCCAGTTTTATCATAAATAATATNTTTTGTCGCTAAAGTAGCATCTTTTATATAGAGGTTAGAAACGAACGTGCTTTTTTCTCGTGGCGATCAATGTAAAATTTCTCATTAAATTAAAAAAAAAAAAACTCTGACTGAGTTGAAAGACGCTTATGGTGAGAATTTTCTATTTTTCGCACGTGTTTTCGAATGGTATAAAAGGTTTTCTAAAGGCCGAGAAAGCACCAAAGACAACCAACATTCAGATCAACCAACATCAATCAAATTGTGCGCAGAGATCGTCGTATGAACATTCGGATGATTGCTAAGACTGTAAACGTCAATAAAGAAGTGGTCAGAAAACTTTTACATGACAAATTAAACATGAAGAAAGTTTGTGCGAAATTGGTTCCAAAACATTTAACTCCCGACCAAAAGCTCATCCGTCAACAGATCTACTCAGATTTTCTTGAAAGGTTAGATGAAGAGCCTGAATTCATGAAAATATCATCACTTGCGATGAAACCTAGATATTCCAATAAGATATTGAAACTAAACGGTAATCCATCCACTGGAAATCTCCTGCATTGTCAAGGATGAAAAAAGCAAGGATGACGAATTCAATATTGAAAGTAATGCTAATCGTTTTTGTTTTTTTTTTTTTTCAACATCAACTGAATGGGTTCCAGAGAGTCAAACTGTGAAAGAAACTTACTATTTGAAAGTTTTTGCAACACTGCGAGAGAGAGTTCATGAGAAACGCCCGGAGTTGTAGCAAAACCAAAACCAATACCTGGGACTGTCTTGATCTTGGTCTTGATTTACCCATTACTAATACGAAGATCAATTTTCAATGAGTTTTCAGCCTGAAAACCTCATGATGATGATGATGCAAGCATTGTAAAGACTGTCCATAATATGCATAATGTATTTTCAATCAACAAGTCCTAACATCATATCCAAAAGGATTTAGGAATGTACTATATTGAACGAACATGCACATCGTATTGTTCAATGTATTTATATTATAATTAAACTTAAACTTTTCTTATCATTAAAGTATTTAATTTTTTTAAGGACTAAATTTGTTCTAATTAAAACCCATACCTCCTAGCTTCACTGCGAGAGAGAGTTCGTATGAAATGGCCGGAGTTGTAGGAAAACAAGTCATGGATCTTGCACCCTGTGCCTTTTTTTGTTTCCAAAGATCAAGTCTGCCTTAAATTGAGTGGTTCGAGCCAATGGAAGAGGTCAAGCGAAAATCGGTGGAGCTTCTAAATTCTCTTACAAAAGAAGACTTCCAGAATTACTTTGACCAGTGGAAAAAACGAATGGAACGATGTGTGGCGAAGGAAGGGGAGTACATTGAAGGGGACATTCGATTGTAGAATAATTTTTAAAATAAAACTCTTTTTCAGTGTTGATTGTAGGTTTTCACGACCGGTGTCGAATACAGGTGAGATGTTATTAAGACTGATGAGTCGTGGTATGTTGGGTTGTATTCCCGACGTTTCATATACAACTGTGGTGAACATTATCAAGGGCGATATAGAAGTCTTCGATGTTGCGAAACGGCGACAACACAAAGCACAAGCAGTCACGTTATTTTATAGCCGGACCTCGTATGTACGTGATTTGTATTTGAAAAGTACCTCATTACGGAGTTAGCCACAGAGATATCTTATCTAATAAACCGTTAACTACAATGACTTTAAAGTATTGTAAGATTATGGAGTATATGTAGAGAAGACGTGATTGAATAATAATAAGTAGGTAGTACACAACTGACTTATAAACACTTATACCGCTGTCGTTGGGTAATCAGAAGTGGTTATAGATATTTTTAGACTAATTCTAATAGTTTCCGTTTTACATACGAACTCAAACAATATTAAGGTCTAAAATATGACAAGAAACGATAAAATGATATATAAACATCAACCACTCTCAGTGGCGTAGCTAGTTAACCAAGGGCCCTAGGGCAAATCAAAAAAATGGGACTCCACTGCTATCTAAACTGGTTAGGTTTTATCAAGTAAAAATATTAAACATATAAATATTTTAATAAATGCTAAGCCACTCAAACAACTGCGTTGTTTAATTCTTTCTGATAAATGCTTCCAATCCCCAATTCCCGTACACCAAACATTATTCCTTTCTGAAGCAAATAACCAGCAGGGTTGACAATACGCAGCGTCTAGTATTTTGGAATAACACAACCAAAAACGATTAACTGGTCCATATTTAGAACTTGAAACATAGTACGATTTTGAAAAACACCTATTGTTTTGGTTGATGTCTGTTGAAAAAGGTCCTGAAGGCTGTAAAGGCCCCATATCAAGAATTTGACGCTTTTCGTTATCACTTAATATTTTGTTCGTGAAGTTTCCCAAGTCATAAGATTTATCGTACACATTTTCGAAAAATGTAAAGGTCTGTGGTTCCTTCAAATCCTCCGCTCTTATGTGTGTCATGCAAACATCATTCACGTTCACATGATCGGCAGCGGATGATGATCTCCAACTGCAATAATTGTCGTATCTTCTTCAGTAGGCTTCTCAACCAACACTGCAGTTACCACATTATTTGAGTCACTGTCAATAGAAATATTTTGTCTAGAAGTACTTGCAGAAGGCGGACTAAAAAACTTGTCAATTTTGGGCAATTTTTGATTACTATCTTCTCTTTCTTGGCGTTGTTTGCGTTTAAATGCACCACTGGGTTTCTTCTTTTTGTCCACAATTTTAGTTTTCTAATTTATTTGTGCAATATTTATATAAGATTGTGCTCGAATAGGTACTAACTGTTCACTGACGACGTTAAAAGTAAAAGGAAGGAGAAACCTAATGATACGCTACAAGATGTCGTTGGGGAATCCCCGGCAAACATTTTATCACCGCTAGTGTTACCACATTTAACGGTGGAGACCAAGAACGATCTCCTAGCGCGCGGGCCTGAATTAATGCACCTACTGCAAGTGACCTGCATTTTTTTCACGATATTTCGCGTTATAAAATGAGTAACCGAAATCTATAGATTTGACATGATTTATTGACGTAACAGACATCAATATGAGTGGTACTAAAATCAAATAAAATTGAACCACTATATTGACCAGTATTAAACAGTTTATTGACATTAGCTTACTTACTCCTGATACAGCATTAATTTTTTAACCGTTCTCGAAAAAAAATCTTGACTCGAATTTACAATAAAACGCACATCGATGAATAATAAAACGCACATATCACTTCTATGCTCGCGAACCGTTAATTTAGAAATTCGAAAAAGGTTGTTAAAGGTGTATGTTTGGAGCACGGCGTTGTACGGGTGCGAAACATGGACAGTGGGAGCGGCGGAAAAGAAAAGGTTAGAAGCGTTCGAAATGTGGTGTTATAGGCGGATGATGAGGATATCGTGGGTAGAAAAACTTAGAAATGAAGAGGTATTGGAAAGAATAGGAGAACAGAGGACTCTATGGAAGACAATAAAAAATAGGCGAGATAGGTTGGTAGGACACCTTCTCAGGCATGAAGGTCTAGTCAGAGACATATTAGAGGCAGAAACAGGAGTTAGGAGGGGTAGAGGTAGACCTAGATTAGATTACTGTTCGCAAATAGTTAAGGATGTGGGCTGTTCTAGTTTTAGGGAAATGCGAAGTTTAGCTCAGGATAGGAAAGAGTGGAGGTACGTGTCCAACGAGTCTTAGGACTGACGACCTTATGATGATGGTGATCGTTATCCGTCAAATTGACAACACTGCCAACCTACAGAAAGAATTTAGGGGAATTCCCTATCGAGATTTTCTGGTAAGGATTCTAGGCCCCCCTGAGTTTGAGGGCCGTGGGGCACTGCCCTGCCTAGCCCCTAGGTAGCTACGCCACTGACCACTCTACGAATTGCTAGATGCGTTCATGTTAAAAGCGCTATTAGGTATTGATATTTAATAGCCATAAACATAAACATGAAGAGATGCCATAAAATGTGAAATAGCAATTTTGATAATTTTCAGTGCAGCTGGTGAATCCATAATAATGGTGACCGTAATGTGAGCCACGATGTAATGAAATTAATAATTAATTAGTTCACTATACCCAAGAGCTACCCTCATTTGAATTTAATTAATAATAATTTTTCAAATAATAACTCGTAATGGTAGATACAGCTTTTCGAGAATGATCGACTACCAAAATTTTTTCAATTTGCATTGCATTTCATTGAATTTTTTTTAATTGTTTTGTACTCTTATCAAAATTGTGGTTTCGAGAGATATTTTGTTCAGGTCTATTACAATAAACATGACTTCACGTAAGACACTACGAATTTATGTTTAATTACTGCTTATAAATGATATTGTCGGTACATTATCTTACGTAAAAATCCTACTATTCGCTGATGATGTGAAACTATTTTACAAAATTAGTTCCCCGTTAGATCAGCTCAAACTCCAAAGTTTCCTCATGGTTTATTGAGAACAAACTCTCTCTAAATCTTGTCAAATGCAAACTTCTACCCCTTACCGTAGTTAAAGATCTAAATTACTACATAATTACAAGCCACATGGTACAGTCTTCGAAGAGGTAACTTTTATGAAAGACCTAGGAGTTAGCTTTCAAAGCAACTGTACCTTTAAAATCCATTTGGATATGGTTGCATCTAAAGCACACAGGACATTTGGCTTCACATAAAGATTTACAGGAATATTTTCTAACCCATTCCCCCTCGTTTATCTCTACTTAATACAGTTGAGATCAATCTTATTTTGTTGTCCTCAAATCTGTACTCTTACTTTAATTTAGATTTCTCAGATATCTTTCTTTTAACCATAGAATACTGGAAACATGACTACTCGGAAATTATGTTTCATTATAAAATTTGTTCAATTAAATCATTACACAATCGTCACGATTTGATTTTCCTTAGAAAAGTACTTATAAGTCAAACAAACTCCTGTGAAGTCTTCGATATATTTAATAAACGTCAAATCATTTACAATCTGCGTCAACTGAGAGAGTTGCACGAACATGAATCAAACAGAGAAAACATACTTCATTCATCTTGGACTTAAACGGAGTTTTAATGATCAACAACCGAACATCAGGAATATTAATGATTTATCTTTATTCTGCGGTGGGCGCGACGGAAAAAAGGTTAGAAGCGTTCGAAATATGGTGTTACAGGTGAATGTTGAGGATACCGTGGATAGAGAAGGTTAGAAATGAAGAGGTATTAGAAAGAATAGGAGAACAGAGGTCTATATGGAAGGCAATAAGAAATAGGCGAGATAGGTTAGTAAGATACCTTCTCAGACATGAAGGTCTAGTCAGAGATATATTAGAGGCGGAAACGGGAGTTAAGAGAAGTAGAAGTAGACCTGCATTAGATTACTATTCGCAAATAGTTAAGGATTAGGGATCTAGTTTTAGGGACAGTCTTAGGACTGACGACCTTGACGACGATGACATGTAATATAACCTTTAACAGTTGATTTCTGCTTCATATCAAATTCAAATTAAAATCACACTAGTAGTAATGTAATATTTTTAATCTGCAACTGGGTATCTTGCCCGTTGATAACGAAAATAAATAAATCAATTAATTACAGCTTTTCTATCTCTTCATCCGTCTTCAATTAATACATTTGCAAGAAAAATAGGCATAAGTAGCACATTTCATCAAGATCGTTTTCGGAATTTTTATCTATTTGTGCGTTTGTTTGTAAATTCATCACGTAGAAACTGACGATCTAGTTTGAACAGAATTTTTAGGACAGCATGAAACATCTACTCAGAATATATACGAGGGTGGATTGATAAGTTTCCGGCCTGACCAAGAAAAACAAGGTTTTTAAAAATTTTTTTTTTTTATTTCTCAACATAACCTCCAAGGCTGATACATTTCTCATAGCGGTGTTCCAGTCTATTAATGCCATCTCTATAGACTGATGATTCGTCAAGCTCCTCAAAATAACCATTTACAGCTTCGATTACTTCTTCATTGTCCGCAAATCTCTTACCGCCAAGCCATTTTTTGAGATTAGGGAACAGAAAATAGTCACTCGGGGCTAGGTCTGGAGAGTAAGGAGGGTGCGGCATCAATTCAAACTTTAGATCGTTGATTTTAGCCGTCGCAACGATTGACGTGTGCGCTGGTGCGTTATCGTGATGAAACAAGATTTTTTTCTTCGCCAGATGAGGTCGTTTAATTTTCACCTCGTGGCTCAAACGTTGCAATAAGTCTGCGTAGTATTGACCAGTGATAGTATTACCCTTTGCAAGGTAATCAATGTATATAATACCTCTTGCATCCCAAAAAACAGTAGCCATAACCTTGTTCGCCGAAAAAATTGTTTTTGCCTTCTTTGGAGTTGGTTCCCCTGGTCCAATCCACTGTTTAGACTGTTCTTTGGTTTCAGGAGTGTAGTGGTGGACCCACGTTTCGTCAACGGTTACGAATCGACGCAAAAATTCGCTTGGATTACGCTTATACAATGACAAATTTGCGGTAGAAATGTTTTTTCGAATCAATTTTTGGTCGACTGTTAGCAAACGCGGCACCCATCTTGCACAGAGCTTTTCCATATGCAAATGTTGGTGCAAAATATGTTGCACACGTTCATATGACATCTTACAGGTCTCAGCTATCTCACGCACTTTCAATCTGCGGTCTCCCAGCACTATTTGATGAATTTTTTCGATCATATCTGGAGTTGTGACCTCAACGGGGCGTCCTGAGCGAGGCCCATCAGAGGTGCTCACACGACCCTTTTTAAACTCGGAAACCCACTGCTTAACGGTTGAATATGACGGGGAGGATGTCCCCAGTGTTGAGTCCATCTCTTTTTTAATTTCCTTCGGCGTTAACCCCTTCAAATAAAAGTATTTGATGACAGCACGATTTTCCTGCTTTTCCATTTTTACGAAAACCACAGAGGCGTCTTGTTCAGCGTGCTGTCAAACCTACACTAGCAAGGAGATCGGGCTGAAACTATAGCTACAAGCTATCCAAGGATGGTACTATAGAATGTCACCTCAAGGTAGGCCTAGTGGCGTCATCTCTTGGTTAGGCCGGAAACTTATCAATCCACCCTCGTATTTTACATTGCAAATAAAGGTACAAAAAGTTATACCTTGATTCAAAACGAATTCTATGCATATACATATGTATTAGAATTTCTGTTATGAGTACCGTCTCTTTTCTCTTTAAAATTCACTAACGATAACGAAGTGACACAAAATAACAAAGGAATTCAATTCCCATTATAACTACATATTTGCATACCATAATGCAGGAACTAGATCGCGAGAACAGGACGCACATGCTGAATACAATCGTATAACTTGGCTGGAGCTTTTCCGTTATAAGATAACGTATATATCTGTAATACGGATTACTCGTTCAAGATAGTTTTATTAATTTATATACGGTTTTCTAGGTCGTACAGTACAACAGTATAAGACCCCTTATGTGCCTGGATGTCTTGATTAATAGTATCGTAAAACCGTTTTAGACTTACACAAAATTCGACCATTAACGTTATTATTACATGACCAAACGCAATCGTTCGTAAATGTGTTATATCTACGTCGACATAATATTTGTTGATATACAATTACGCATTTTGAACTTTTGGACAATTTTTGTAAGACTACAGGCACCATTTTGTCATTTACTATTATTTGCTGCTAACAGTAATATTTCAAATGTTTGACAATGCCTTATAACCGTTATAATTTTATCTACTTGATGAACCCCGCATTAGCAAAGGGGTAGATACGTCAAAAATTTTAAGGAGAAAAAGTCAGGAAGAAGAATGAAGAAATTTGAATTCCAGTGAGAAGGAAAAATAATCGAAAATATTACAGAGTTCTACCACGTTCTACTATTTAGGATTCGTCATCATCATCATCATAAGGTCGTTAGTCTTAAGACTGGTTCTGTTTCTAATATGTTTCTCAGTAGCCCTTCATGACTAAGAAGGTGTCTTGCCAACCTATCTCGCCTATATTGATTTGCATAGAGTCCTCTGTTCTCCTATTTTTTGTAATACCCTCTCATTTCTAACGTTTCCTATCCATGGTGGTTTTAACATTTCCCTATAATACCACTTCATATCAACATCATCATAAGGTCGTCAATCCTAAGACTGGTTGGACACGTACCTCCACTGTTTTCTATCCTGAGCTAATCTTCGCATTTCCTTAAAACTAGAACAGCCACATCCTTAACTATTTGCAAACAGTAATCTAGCCTAGGTCTGCCTCTACCCCTCCTAACTCCTGTTTCTGCCTCTAATATGTATCTGACTAGACCTTCATGCCTATCTCATCTATTTTTTATTGACTTCCATAGAGTCTTCTGTTCTCCTATTCTTTTTAATACCTCTACATTTCTAACCTTTTCTACCCACGTTATCCTCATCAGCCGCCTATAACACCACATTTCGAACGCTTCTAACCTTTTCTTTAAGCCGCGCTCCAAACATACACTTTTAACAACCTTTTTAAATTTCTAAATTAACCGATCGCGAACATAGAACTGACTTCTTTTTATTAAAGGCGACTCGACCCTGCACTATCCTCTACTTTATATCCCTACTACTCCTTCCGTCCTCACCTATCTGACTTCCTAGATTCCACTTCATGAACGTTTTTAAATTATTCTTGTAATTAACATACTCCCAACAAAAACTTTTAATATTCTTGTTAAATCTTTAGCTTAAAATCTCTAATATTTTTCTATCCTGAGCTATATAACTCTCGTAATATCGAAAATCGGCAAGTTTTTCTAATATAAGGTTCAAGTCCACTTTTTTTTTTCTTTTTTCGACTTTAAAAATTTGCTGCATTTCATTTGACTAATTTTTATCTGAAGTCCCAGATATTTTAAACAATTTCTACAATGATACATCACGTTTATTAAATAAAAATGCTAAAGTGAACAACATTTTCCAATATTTGTAAACTCATCTACGTATAACGTCACTGAGAGTACGTACTAAATATTGTTTCGAATGTAAAAAAGACTTACCAAAGAAGACGTTGAACACGTACAACAATTTCTTCTTGCGGAATTCGGAGATGGGCATTTTTGGTCTTGAGTTTTACTGCAAACAAAATAACAAATGTTAGAAAATATTTTTGAATATAAGGAATGGAACTTAAAATGTCTAGTCCATTTGCAAAGCATTTGGAGTTCAACATAAACTGAATGTACGCATGGTATGTAAATAGAAACGTGAAAGGATGATAAAACGGCAATAAAAAAGAAAAGTTATCTTCATTCTTTATACAGAGGCATATTTTAAATAAATTATAATATACATACAGGGTGTTTTACATAAGGCGGTTTCGTCTATAACTCATTATACTTTTAATACAAAAATGTTTCTATAAAAGTGGTCCGGAATCATATGGTGTATATACGGAAAATACTTTCACTCATACAGGGTGCTTCATTTCTTCTGGACGCTACCTAACTTCGTTATTTTAAGTGAATCATCCTGTATATTACATTTCTGGTTTCTTTCTTTAATTTTAGGTCGACTTTGTTAACAGTTTTCTGCACCTATCTCTAGAAGTTTTCGGGATATTCAACTGAATGAAACCAAATCCGAACTAATTTCAAATATATTTCTCTGACAATTTTCCAGAAAAAAATGATTTTATATTTATTTAAAAGGTTAGATTAGTAGAAAGGGCTTTTAATTTCGCATTGACTGGTATCATTTAATAAGAGATTGAATAAGTTATTCGTCATGTAAGATCGTCAAAAGTAGGTAACTGTCCAAACCCAAACTGTTTAGATGCTGTTTGGTCTCATTCAAACAGCTAAAGTGGGTTTTTTTTTTTCAAAAACAGTTGAATATCTCAAAAACTACTAACAATAGGTGTAGGGAACTGTTAATAAAGTCGATCTAAAATTAAACAAAGAAACCAAACATGTAAAAATATACAGGGTGTTCTATTTGAAATAACGAAGTCAGGTAGCGTCCAGAAGAATAAAACTATTTTCTTTATATGCATCATTTATTAAAAGTATTGTGGCGAGCACGAGTGTGTTTGTGTGCGATCGGGCACACGTGTACGTGAACGGCTTATCGATTCGCCGACTAGCCGCGGGCGCCTTTCTTCATATGCGCCGTATTTGTAAATGTGTGTGTCGTACCTGCGTTCTGGGAAAGCAGATAAACAGTTCAAAGAAAAAATAAACTATCCGGGTGTTTCCAGAAGGTTCCCGAAAGTAAACAAAAGAGTATTTAAAGGAAGAGACGATCGTCGAAAGAAGAAGAAATAAATTGACCGTTGTATAAGTGAATCGAGAAATAAATTGACAGTGATAGCAATGAAATAAATAGCACAGTTATATATCAACAGTAGTGTAAATAAATAGAATAATTCATAACTTAAGTTTAGTAATAATTTAATAGTGTTTTTAAGTTCTTTAATAATTAGTGTAAATAAATAGTTTTTGTCGTTATCAGTCTTAGAAGTTAATTTTGTTAAACCCACGAACATTACAGTATAATAAGGGAGTTATGAACAAAACCGCGCTAGGAGGAACACCCTGTATATTGTAAGTGCCTATGCAATCATACAAAAAGAAAAATATTTATAATTCGAAATGACGAAAAATTGGTAACTCACTAAAATGAGCACTTGCGATAAGTCAAACTTTGGAGTTTTGTTGTTCAACATTAAAATGGAACGTTTGTTATATATTGTCATTTTCTGAAAGTTCTCAGAATATTTATCAATGTGCAAATATTTTCACTGTAAAGTTGAGGTTTTCAAAAAAGAAATACAGTCGAACATTAACCGTAATACCGAAAATCAAACATCCAATTATATTGAAACGGTTGAATATTCCACAATTTGTTCCAGATCCGAACTAATTTTAAATATCTACCTGTGTTACATTGCCCTCCTTTTGGAGCAATTTGTTCTATATGTTGAAGGGCAATTTAAAGAAGAATTCTTCTCAGTTTCCGTCGCTTCGTTGGAAAAGAAAGAAAAAAGTTGATGATAAATTATAATTCGTGGAAACCTTCATAAAGATTTTCCGGTGGCTATTCAGAGGAATAAATGGCTTTCATTAGTAGGATTGTACCCGGAGCAAGACTCAGTAGCAAAATGGGTGGGAACGGTTGTATATTATTCATTAATTCTTTCTTTCTCTTAGATTGTGCTAAACAAACATTTCAGATGTTCTTTAGCATTTCATTTTCTTTTTTAATCTCATTTTTATAAATTTAAAAAGCAATGGGCTGATCGGCTGAGTTAATACGTACGTACAAGGTGAACAATTGTTTGAAAGAAGTTTTCTTGTTATATTATGCAAATATTTACAAAGTAAAATTATTTCGAAAGCACCTAGATGAAATTGAAAGATTAATGGAACAACATTAAAAGAAACATGAAGAGGCGAAATTAACCAGTAGCAACACAAAATTGATTTCTTTCTGTTAAAAATGACTCGACTCTGGGATATTGTTTGTTTTATGTCTCTAATGCTTTTCAAATCCAGTCAAAAAAATAAATATCTGAAGCTTCCAATTTTGTACAGTAAAGTCGTACCGAAATGCATTTCTTTGCATTCGATTTGTGAGACCGTCTACAAACCTTGGGAACATAGAGATCAATTCATCTTCAAAAATGCATCGGTGCATAAAAAACTTTTGGGTGCTTCATTCGTACCAACCAGTAATACTGGTGGGTGGGCAGTCCCTCCAGACTACACCGGAAGGTAGGGCGGAAGACCCTCTTCAGCAGCGTTGCCAGCCTGTACGATAATTATGGGGACATACGATAATTTTGCTTCAAATACGATGTACGATATCGTAATTCAAATTTCTATTAAACGTACGATAATTCGTGCTTATGGGATAAAAATATATTTTCAAATAGTAATAGGTATGTAGTAGGAATATGATATTTGTTTCTGCCAACCTGTTGCCTTGTTTTTCTACCTTCTTAAAATCTTTTGTTAATAGAACAGCAGTCTCTGGGTATTTTCACTCCATAAAAATACAAATTCTCTCTAATTTACAACAGAGCAGGGGCAAATTCGGCCCTTTTGATTCTCGAAAGCTTCTCAGGTAGATCTTAAGAGTTTCTCCTTGCTAAACTGGCGACGGTTAACGGACTTTTACTTACAAGTCAGTGTATTGAAATTTGAGATCACTGATGAAATGTTATCTCGTTTTAATTCGAATAATCTTTATAAAAATAATAATAATAATAATGGTTATGGTATAGTGATGACGATATAATAATAAAACAGAATTAATACGTTGATTATTATTATTATATTAGATTTTATTATAAAAAAAGTATTTTTATGTATGCTGAATAGTTGAATATGCATAGATTATGGATTCTAAAAAAAGAACTTTCTTCCAAAATGTTTAAAATCCACTCCGAAATTCATTTTTCTATTTGAAGTTATTAGCCTGTCAGGAAAGTTTTTATACTATCATCTATTGATGGTATAATAGAACTGAGAAAACCACTGGGGTACACTACTCTCTTTACAAATTCATACTCCCACCACTAGATGCGCATGCGCAATAACGTACGATATTTTTGATGTTAATACGATAATTTTTCCTAAAGAGTGCGATAATTCTATCTACTGAACCTGGCAACGCTGCCCTTCAGCTTCCGTTCAGGAATCGTGGGAATGGGTAGGTGGTGGTTCGGGTGAGAAAGATGAGACGGACGAAATGAAGACAGAAGAGAATGAAAGATTATCTGTGGAATATTACTGCCTCAGCATTTGCCTAAGTGATCCAAGGAAACCACAGAAAAACTTGGACCAAGGCAGACGAACCCGGAATCGAACCGGCGTCCTCCCGAATGCTAAGCAATGGTCTAAACCTCTAAGCGATACCGCTCGGCGTCGGTGCATAAGAAAAATGCAGTCTTATAAGTGCATTGCAAAAACTCAGTGAACAGTGATAGAAATAAGTCCATTTTGTTACTAGGGTGTTTTGAGGGTCACTGAACACTAATATGCAGTAGACGACAGCCTCCGAGATGCCTGGGACCCAGGGCCACCGTCATGCACGTCGTCTCCAGATATAATGTTTTAAATTCATTAAAAATCGATTGAAATTGGATACTCGGGGGTTTTGAAGATGAATTTGTTCACAGTCTCAGGAATCGAATGCTGAAAACCGCATCTCGATCCGACTGGCTACACACAAATTCGAAGGTTTGGCCTATATTTGAGCTTTATTTCCTCGGCTAATCAATATCATTAGATAATGGGTAGTCATTTTTTTGTTTAATTTCAATCGCTAACATCCTGCAGAGGATTCTGTACAAAACCATGTTCTTGCTGTTACAGTTCCAATATAAGTTCCACAAAATTAACCTTTTAATCTCAATGCATAAATTTCTGTCTTTAATATTGGTCCCTGGCTCCAGTATTGGTTACGTCGAGGCACGACACAATGCTCTCAAGGGTGCAAAAACATAATTTCAAATGAATATATCCTTGTATCCACTGTACATAGGGTATACGGCTTAACCCTTAATGGCATTTAGTAAATTTCGTATATAGCATCCAAAAGCACTGTTAGAATCGATACTTAACGTAAAATATAGCACAGTGTAGCTTTTAACACTACGATTTTGATTAAAACTATTGTATGAGTTGATCAAACTAAACTATCGAGTGTTTAAGCTGAAACGGGGTAAGTTAACAGGATTTAATGGATCAATTTAATATCCACTAGTATATTGCCCGGCAATTTCCGAGATACCTACACATGAAGATATTTTATTGAGAAATATAGGACTCTTGTAATTTAAACTTTATGGAAACTATTGCCCTTAAATACCAAAATTAATCTGCACTTTCAGTTACATATAAACCTAAATACCTGCAAAATTCATCCAAATAATTGCATCTTTAATGCCTGTTTATAGCCGAGTCAAATTCAGAAGGCGAAGTCTTCAATAAATCGTTTATATCATTTAATTGGAACGTTTAAAATTAGCATAGTCCGAAATAAAACTGTCGCATTTGCTTTCTTCTTTTAACTTACTAACTATAAACTAGAGCAGTTGCTGACAGAACGTCTATTTTTACCTACACATC